AATGTACCAACAGGTCTTGGCTAAGATGTTTTTTCCTTAAACTAACAACATAAACTAACAACTAACTTTTCCATAACTAACAACAGTTTTCAGGGAGGGCTTCATGCCCAAGTGCAAGGTCAGTCTTAGCTGGGTGTGATCATATGAAAACATGTAGCATTGATGGTTGCTAAGCAACCTGGTTTATTAAGCAAATCTGCTGCATGCATACTTACTCCTGGAAATTTATAGTATTCTGATGACGTCACGCAATCGCACTGCCACCATTTTGGTAGGCAACTTTAAGTTCATGCGGGAGCACAAGGATGTTTGATATGAGAGAAAGCCATGATTAAAAGATGTGCAAGACTAGCATGAAAGTTTGTGCTATATTGAAGTCACACTTTAACCATGTGATGTTCCTCTGCATGTAAAACAACCACATGACTTGTAGACACAGCGCAGAGGGTCTTATCTGTCACAATCTCACATCTTTAGTGAGCTCACAGATCAGTTTCTCATGCACTCTCATTAATATAGATGATGAGGCTGCCTGAACACATCGTGGTACACAAACCAGTACAGAGAGAGAGAGAGAGGATGGAAGAGGGAGGGCAAGATAGAGAGAACGAGCCCACGGTGCAAGAGAGACAGTGTGTACGTGTTCATGCAGGCAAGAGAGAAAATGTGTGATTGCATGACATTTCTGTAAAAAAAACTACAGGTGCTGGTAGGTATTTTTGGCTGCCTGAAAACTTTACTCATAGACCTCAACTCATTTTCTGTAGCAGAACCAATTACAATATTAAAATGTGCCAACATTTTCTTGACCTTACTCTTTATTTTTCTATAGCTCCATATTTCCTTAACTTTTACTGAGCATGCAACAAGCTGTGAATATGCGCAACACAACTAAATATCAATATACTGTATTCAGCTGGCTGAATTGCTTCTTAAAAACAGCTGTCAAAACAAACCTATAACTGGAAGAGTTACAGAATGGAAGATGCTTTGCTGCATCTTAATATCCTACCTCCTATTATAACACACCTATGCAGTTCTGTCTGGTATTAATCCCAGTACTAGAGGTGACTGTATCTGAGCGTCTTTTCTTCATGACTATACTCAGAAATGGCAAACAGTTGGACACGATGACAACTTTATTTTAGCTGTTTACACAGAGCACAAACCACAGGAAATGATCTCTCCAGTTAGAAACCATAGTTCCTGTAGACAGAGAGCAGTGACAGAGATGGGTGTCAAAGCTGGTATGATTTGCCTAAACTTCCTGTCCTGAGAGCAAGTATGTATTTAGTAATATCACCCAGACAGTCACTTTGAGAGCTGAAGACTGTAGTGGAGACTTTGCATCTGCAGATACAGCAAAAATCCACTTAATGGCATCAACACGTTTACAGAAGATCAAAGGGCTGAAGATTAATGAGGATATATATGCAAATTCAGGAATTACAACAGACAACACATCAACTCATTCAGACGACAGCAACGATTATGAGGACATCTATAACAATGAAGATGTCCCAGAGACGGGTGTGACCAGAAGCTGTAAAGAAACTAAGACCTCAGGTACACACACACACACACACACACACACACACTACCCTATCCCAAATGGTACCCTGCTATCTTTCTGCAATCCTTCTTCAAACCACTTTGAACTTTGCTGACGAGAATTTGCAGGCCAGTAGTAGGTTTTAAAGCTTACATTTGAGATGGGCTCATGCAACGTCACAATCGACAGGTCATACAAGTGCAGTAACTGGTAGCTAAATACATTTTAGCTAATTTGCTGATCTACAGTAGCTCACTGTCACTCAGCCCAAAAGAATTAAAGTCCAAATCAGTTAAAAGTCAGGAAAGTACTTTCGACACTCAACCAGTTTGCTAGAATAATCCATATAAAATATGAACTAATGAAAGAAGTATTCACTAAAATTTCATAAGTTTGAATGTGTTATCTGCATAACACTAATATATTGAATGACTGTCATTGTAAACTCTGCTTACAACAAAATTAAAAGTGCCACTCATCTTGTTTCAAGATAAAAAAAAAACACAGGATATTCAATACAGCACAGAACATTCAAGAAGACACTAAACAATACAACACAACATTCAAAATAACACAGAACATTCTATGAGACAAAGATATACAAAGGACTATACAGTAATGTTGTATTAAACACAGTTAGATAATGGGTCAGCATGGGTCATGTGAAAGATAGAGGTCTGTTTAATGTGGTAATGGCCCTGGGAAAGAAGCTGTCTCTGAGTGTGAAGGTGCGTGTTTTGGCGAGCCTGTAGCGCCTGCCAGGGGCAACAGCTCGAAGAGGTGGTGACCAGGGTGTGGAGTCTTTGATAATATTGGCAGCCCTGCTGAGGTAGCATGAGATCCTCAAAGATAAGGACCCCCAGTAATTTAAAATTCTGCACCGTCTCTACACAAACCCCATTTATACAGAGTGGAGCCAGGTCTGCTTTACGTTTCCTCCTGAAGTCAAGTATGATTTTCTTTAGAGTTTAACACTCTGTGAGAAATTTATGACAAAGTTATTAATCCAGGTGCAAACTGGGGGGTGGAAGCCCAGCTAAAGAAACTTACTTACTAGAATGCCCAGGATGATTGTATTTGAATGCAGAGCTATAGTCGATGAAGAGCATCCTTACATAGCTCCCCGGTGCTCCAAGTGGCTCAGTGCAACATGGATTGCAGTGGTAATGGCATCCTCAGTGGACCTCTTGGCGAACGGATGTGGATAGAAGGTGCGAGGTAATCTAGCTTTGATGTAGTGCAGGACTAGTTTCTCGAAGCATTTCATGAACACTGGTGTTAGTGCCACTAGTCTGCAGTCCCCAGGGATCCCCAGAGATTGGCTTTTTGGGAACAGGAATGATGGTGGCTGATTTTAAACAGGATGGAATCATAGCTAGTGACCTCCTGTTCCTGCACTGTTAGTGTGTTGATATTAGAGACAAGTGGGGGTAGTACAGCTGTGGCAGGCCTGCTGGCCTCAAACCGGGTGAAGAAACTGTTCGAGTAGATGGAAGGGTCTACATAATACTGTGAGAGCTTCTAGGTCGGGGCAACAATGTCGATCACAATCCTCCTGTTGGTACACCATTCATTGTGCAGGTAGATATATATATATATATATATATATATATATATATATATATATATATATATATATATATATATATATGTATGTATAGAGAGAGAGAGAGAGATAGAGAGAACGAGCCCACGGTGCAAGAGAGACAGTGTGTACGTGTGCATGCAGGCAAGAGAGAAAATGTGTGATTGCATGACATTTCTGTAAAAAAAACTAAACCTTCTACATAAAAAATTCACTCATTTTAAAATGAGTGAACACCCACTTCTGTTAACCACTTTACCACGAGCTTGCATATCTCCGACTTTAACAAAGCCGTCGAAGTCGAGAGATTGTAGTGGCTAGCTAGAGAGACTAAATCATCCTTTCTGCACGTTTCTAACGCTTCATGACTCGGATTAGAAATAAAATCATGTGAATTAAATTTGCTTGTAGCCATCCTGTCTCCAGTTACAATTACCACAGCTAGGCGGAGCAGCACAGCCCAGAACACAGCAACAGGCACGCACTAATACAGCGCATAACAAAAAAAAAAAACAAACCAATTCCGACACCAACCATCTGACATCATGCCCAAAATCATACCAAATCATCCTGGAAAACTATCCCGGACGAGCCCCCATATGTTAGTTTCCCTCAGGTGTAGCTAGGGATGGAGAGGAAATAACATGGCATGTGATGGGAGATGGAAGGGAAGGACAAGGACACAGTAGTGGCGTTGTCAGTCAATGCTTTACTTTGCTTCCCACTTGCAAAAGTGTATGATACAAGAATAATATTTACAAGGAAAGAGCCATGTTACAATTAGCTGAGCTGAGAATGAGTATAGGTTAAAAGAAAAGGAGTTGACCAACCACTGGTCATGCAAGAACATTGACTAATGGGATCCAACCAACCACAAAGGTGGACGGAGGACGGTGCCAAAGAAATGAAACAAGCAAACCAAAATCTAACCTGCCTAGCCAAGTCTACTCCTCACCAAAATATAGCGGGTGGCACTCGCCCCTTACCTGATATGTCTAAACAATCCAACAACTACTGTGTATGTATAGGCGCGCCCAACTTGCCTGTCCACACATCGCGCTGGGGAGAGAAAATTGAGAGAAAGAGGTAAAGAGGGAGCACAGGAGACTGTGGCTACATTTTCACTGCTAAAGTAGCACAACTTGCCATTATTGCCAACACCACAAGACTCATGCACACTAAATGCTCCCACACATGAATCCTCTCAGGTGACTCCTTTTATCTGCCAAGACTAAAAAAGTAGCAACTGAACATTTTACAGGTTAATTAAAAAATATGTGGGATGATGTCCCGAAAGAACTCTTCAATGAACTGGGCTGAGCCCCTGATCTTTACATGGCCAACCTGCGCCCCTGATTCATGTACATGTAGATCCTGCAAAGCATTACCCAGCTTTATATACCACAGAAATGCCATGCTTTTAAGAAAAGTGAACACACTGAACAGATGAATATTACTGTGTATCTTTCTAGTTTCCAGCATCAACACAGCAGACAGCAGATGCTACAGGCTGGCTGCAGTGTGTCTGGGGCTGCTGTGTGTTCTTCTGCTGACTGCCATCACAGTGCTGTGGATCAAGTTCATCAACCTGACTACAGAGAGAGACCAGTTACAGACCAGTAACACCAACCTGATCACAGAGAGAGACCAGTTACAGACCCGTTACACAAAACTGAGTACAGAGAGAGACCAGTTACAGACCAGTAACACCAACCTGATCACAGAGAGAGACCAGTTACAGACCCGTTACACAAAACTGAGTACAGAGAGAAACCAGTTACAGACCAGTAACACCAACCTGATCACAGAGAGAGACCAGTTACAGACCAGTTACACGAAACTGACTACAGAGAGAGACCAGTTAAAGACCAGTAATGACAACATGAAAAATGAGAGGGGCCAATTACAGAAGGAAAAGGAAACGCTTCAGAAGAAACTGTCAGAATTAGGTGAGTAAATAAAGCTCAATTACTGATCATAGGAAACTACTCTACTATGAACAGACAGCATGGTTTACATTAATATTGTACAGTTTAATGTTTCATGCCTGTCATGCATTCCTCCAACTGCTATCCACTTCTCCAGCCTTCTGATTACTGTCAGAGGTGGTTTAATCTGCTTGTGCTACTGGTATCTGTATTTACAGTAAAATAGGATGATTTAGAGTGAATATCATCAGGGTCTATTGTTTTTTTTTTTTAAGAACTATATTACTGCCACCTCATACATCTATTATCTTTATTATTTTGAGATAAAGAGCCAGTGAACCGCCTTCTGAAGCCCCTGATTTTTGAACATCTACATAACACATATGACATATATAAAAATCTTAAAGTCAATCAGTGGGCTGAGCAAAACAGTCTTTTGAGCCTTATTTTTGTAAACTTTTTTTCACTACTGAGAACAATGAATTAGGATCTTTATTTGCTAACCTTTCTCTCTACTGATGTGTTTGACCTTTTTATATTAGTTTAACTTTTACACTATAGCTGGTAATGCAGGTGACGGCATACAGGCAATTACAGAATATAAGAGCGCAACAATCTCTCATGCTGTGTAGTTCCTCATTGTGCCACATATTGTGTAGTCAGTGTGACTGGGCATTGAGGCTATTAAGACAAACGTAATTACACTCTGTATGAGTGGATATTTATAACTTACTTAAACTGATTTTTAAAAATGTCAGCATAATTCAGCAACTGAGATGTAAACGAAGTCATTCAGAGTGGTTTAGTGTGAAATGGTTCACTGTGGAAACATGCTATCTTTTGGCTGTCCAAAGTGTCAGCTACACATGTCTAGAGTTTTATATATACTCTTGATAATAGTAAAACAGTGGTAAATCTGGGACATTTTTCTTTTGGTACTCATTGCCTTACAAGGTCCTGTGTGTCCCTCTCTGCCTTGAAAGTACTACTAAAATGTCTTAGAATATAAGATAATATCAAATTTATTGTAAAATTGTGTCTCAGGCATCAAGCAGCATATCTGTAACAATTTAATGTAAGAGTTTTGTGATGTAGCTTTAAAAAGCAATTAATACTTCAAATGAATGGCTCCTATCAACACCACTGTGAACAATTCTGACTCAGTAAGTTAAATAAATACAGCAGTAACATCTTAATGACTGAATCATGCAGAAGATCCGAAGAATCACTGGAGTTCCCCTTTAATTAACTGACTTATTAATGCATTACTTTCTCTATGAAAAGAGCAAGAAAAGAACACTTTCAGATACAGTTTCTACTACACCTCTACTGAGAAGAAGAGCTGGAGTGCGAGCAGACAGTACTGCAGAGACAGAGGAGCAGACCTGGCGATCATAAAAAGCAGAGAAGAACAGGTGAGAGAGAGAGAGAGAGAGAGAGAGAGAGAGAGAGAGAGAGAGATACTACTCTTCTTCAGCTGTATATATTCACATTGTGCCATATTGTACCATGTCAGGAGTTCATCAATAAAGTATTTGGCAGCACTGAAGCTTGGATTGGTCTGACGGACAGCCACACAGAGGGGGTCTGGAAATGGGTGGACAACTCAGCTTTGACCACTAAGTAAGAGACCACTCAACTGAACTATGTTATTGATGCAATTATTGACTGAGAAGCTCTAGAGGTGTAATAGTGAATATAATCTGATTCTCTGTGTTTCAGGTTCTGGTTTGAGGGGGAACCCAATGATTATGAAGGAATTGAGGACTGTGCTGTATCTCGCTATAAAGGAGCTGGATCTGAACGTGTATCAACCTGGGCTGATTATCCCTGTAATCACGATACAATTATATTTGTAGGAATCTGTGAGAAAAATTTTTAATTTAGTCTACATGAGACTAAACAGCAAAATTGTCCTTATCAATATTTTAACAAGATGAGGATTAAAGTAGAGTCAAGTGCAAAAATAATATTAAACTTTTTACTTCTATTTGAATGCTTGTACTCAAGAAATTAACCCTTTGCTAAGTTCTGAGCCCTTAATTATATATATGTGTGTGTGTATATATATATATATATATATATATATATATATATATATATATATATATATACACACGTATATATATATATATATATATATATATATATACACACGTATATATAATATATATATATATATATATATATATATGTGTGTGTGTATGTATATATATATGTGTATGTATATATATATGTGTATATATATATATATGTGTATATATATATATACACGGCCCGCTGCAGCAAAGACATCCTCTGTACTCTGCTACATGCATGTTATGCCAGTTATTCAGCATCACTCGTCCTTTAATAAATTACCTTATTGTCCAGAAAAGCTTTGACATGTTTTTTCTTTCTGAGTCATGGCAGAAACCTGGAGATTACCTCCATCTCAATATGATGCTACCTAATGGCTATAGTTATCTAGCTAAGCCTAGGACCCCAGGGAAATGTGGTGGTCTGGCTGTTGTGTTCAATAGTACACAGGTCAGTGTAGTAGCCCTGTAAAGGGAGATAATTCATTGACAAACTCTTCACTGTGTTCTCTGTGTCAGCAAGTGAGTGTCGAACAGGGATTGTACAAATACTTTACAAAAGATGTACATTTGGTGAAAAAGTATTTTCTATTCTGCTTTTTAGCTAATTTGTCTCATTTAAATATTTCAGGTCATCCAACAAATTCTAATATAAGACAAAGTCAACACAAGTAAACACAAAATGCAGAATGATGATCTTTCCATTTATTGAAGATAAAGATTTATTCAGAACCTATATCACCCATATGAAAAAGTAATTGCCCCCCTAAGACTAATAACTTGCAATGAGTCTTTTACATCACTGTGGAGGAATTTTGGCCCACATTTCTTTTAATGTTTAAGGTTGTAATTCTGCTACATTGGGCTCTTTTGGAGCATGAACTGCCTGTTTGAGCATCTCAATGGGATTAAAGTCAAGCCACTCCAAAACCTTCATTTTGTTACTTTTTAGCCACTCAGAGCTGGACTTGCTTGCATGCTTCGGATCATTGTCCTGCTGCATAACCCAACTGCACTTGAGCTTTAGGTCACAAACTGACAGGTGGTCATTCTCCTTCAGGATTTTCTGATAGAGAGTAGAATTCATGGTTCCATCAATTATGATGAGTCGTCCAGGTCCTGCAAATGCAAAGCAGCCCCAGTCCATCACACTACCACCACCATGTTTGACTGTTGGTATGATGTTCTTATGGTACACAGTGTTAGCTTTACTCAAGATGTAATGGGACTCATATCTTTCAAAAAGATGCACCTTGTCAGTCCACAGGATATTATTGCAAATGTCTTGGGGGTCATCTGGATATCTTTTGGCAAATGCAGGACAAGCCTTTGTGTGCTTTCTGGTCAGCAGTGGATGCCATTTTTGCCTGGTGTCTTTCTTATTGTGGAATCATATACATTGACCTTATCTGAAGCAAGTGAGGCCTGCAGTTCTTTCTTATTTGTTCTTTGGTGGCCTCCGAGATAAGTCATTGATGTGCTCTTGGTGAAATTTTGGTGGGCCAGCCACTCCTGGGAAGATTCACCAAGTTTTCTCCATTTGTGGATAACAGCTGTTTCACTGGGGTCCTAGAGCCTTTACAATGGCTTTGCAACCTTTTCCAAACTGGCAGATTTTAGTGACTTTGTTTCACATCATTTTAAAAGAGCATTTTAAAGTGCCAAGTGCCAATCTAAAGTACAATGGGAAGGATGAGCTCAAAGAAAAACAAACAAGTGATGGGGCCAGGGATCAAACCTGGCTGCGCGAGTACACTACCGCTACACTACTGAAGCTGAAGGTGGCAACATATCCGAATTCTAAACTCACCAGTTTTGGTTCCGTCAGGAAGAGAGAACAAGGGACACCTGGGGTAAACTGGCTTTGTCAGAAGTAGAGAGAGAACTTAACAAATAACTTTTCCAACAGAAACAAAACAGAAGAGAAGAAAGGAGGATCCCTTTGTGTTCTATTTATTTTTCTCTCTCAGAGACAGAAAACAGAGAAGAGACCCTTGAGAGGAGGCTGGAGCAACCATGGGTGTGTCCTCCTCTGCGCTTATGCAGCCCTTTGCTCAGGTGTAGGACTGGGGGCTTGATTGGCCTTGAGAGGTGCGCGTCATCTCCCTCTGGTGGCCGGGAGTGTTGCAGCCTTTAACATGTACAAAAGTGATGTTCTGATAAAGATAGATTTTAACCCCTTTTAACCCCTTTTCCTTTTTAAAGCTAGCAGGTAAAGGTATTAAATATAAATAAAAATGATAAGTTTAAGATTAATTTTTCATTACACACAAAAACACCTTTACTTTTAAGATCATTTTAGATATGTAGTTATTTTAATGGTTTATTTAGGTGCTGCTTTATTTGCACATTAAACAGTGACATCAGCAGCAATCTTTAGAAGATGTATTTCATAGACGTGACAATGCCAGTGCAAAAGCAATCACTGAGATATTAGTTGTATTCATCACTTTGGTTGACTTATCCTTATTGATCTTTGATAATGATAATATTAGCTTTTATTACTGTCTTTGATGATGAATTATCAGGCATTCTGATATTCGTGTGACACCTTGCAAAAGGCAAAGATTACCCTGACACAAAAGGTTGAGAAGATGGAGGTAAAAGATTCTGTTACTGCCTTATCTGAGGCAGTTAAAAACCAAAACACATGTAGATGTAGGAAATCTGCACAAAAGCTGTCTTGGTAGCATATCTGACAAAATCATGGAGCAAAATGAACCAGAATGGCAACCCTAGTAGCCAGTTTCCTCTGTGCCCCACGCAGAAGTACTGAGAGTGAAAGAGACTCTTTAGTGCAGCACTAAATTATTTATTAATAATTATATTATTAATGAACAAATGAAGAAGATGCTCACAAAGAACAGAAATGCTGCTTTTTCTTAAGAAAAACCTTACAATAGTGCTTAAATGAGTATAGCTGGGCCAAGTTTTGCACACATTCTTTGATCTGATTTTGCCAAAAGCCTTGTTACTTTCAGCCCTGAACAATGTTGCACTTTTTGTTCAAACACTGTGGCCTTTCTTTGCCTTTGTGGCTCCAAAATCAAATGTGTCACACCAACCTCTGGCACTGTAGTTCATACCACTCAGCACACCATCCATTTCCAAACTCCAACTCCCAGAACCCCTGGAGGACCATATGACACCTGGCTCCATGCTGCCATCTGCTGTCCAGTTCAGTGTCCTACAATGACTGTTTCCTATTGATTGTCATTTTCCATTGAAGCTTTTTCGTACGAATAAACCTTTATTTCAACACAAATGTGTTGGTTGATCATTTAAACGTTAAAAAAATAATAATGACATATGATTTTCCATCTTGCATTAACTATGGACAAAGAAAATCGTATTAAAAATAACTATTTTCCCATTACATAGACTTCTTATCATGCAAATCAAATCAAGTCAAGAGGCTTTTATTGTCATTCCATCTATGTACAAGTACACAGTGGAGTGAAATTCCTTTCCTCCAGGAACAACACGGTGCAACAAGGAACAAAAGTACAAAAGTACAAAATTACAAAGTGCGAACGTGCAGACAGTGTGCAAACATAAATTAAGCTAGAAAACAATACAATAAATACAATAAATCAAACAGACATTAGACACAGTAAACGGACAGGCAAGTGTAGCACTGACACAGCACAGATTTCTGGACATGAGGTAGTGGAATAAGGTGCAGACATATTTAACATGATGTGATCTGTAAGTTACAGATAGATAGTGCAAGTAGAGCATCAAAAGAGGTGTGTGTGTATGTGTGTTGGAATTGTTAGTTCAGTCCTTGTGAGTTTAAAAACCTGATTGCTTGAGGGACAAAGCTGTTGCAGAGTCTGGCAGTGATGGCACGGATGCTCCGGTACCTTCGGCAGCAGTGAAAAAAGCCTGTGTGAACTTGGTGCTCCTGATGACTTCCACAGCAGAGCCAGTGATGTTAAGTGGACGGTGGTCACCTCGCACTCTTCGGAAGTCAACAACCATCTCCTTAGTTTTGTCTACATTCAGAGACAGGTTGTTGGTTCCGCACCAGTCTGTTAGCTGCTGCACCTCCTCTCTGTACGCTGACTCATCATTCTTGCTGATCAGACCCACCACAGTCGTGTCATCAGCAAACTTGATGTGATTTGAGCTGTACTTTGCAGCACAGTCACGAGTCAGCAGGGTAAACAGCAGCGGACTGAGCACACAGCCCTGAGGGGCGCCGGTGCTCAGTATGGTGGTGCTGGAGATGTTATTACCTATCCTGACTAACTGAGGTCTTTTAGTCAGGAAATCCAGGACCCAGTTACAGAGGGAGGCGTTCAGGCCCAGCAGGCTCAGTTTTCCAATCAGCTGCTGAGGGATGATGGTGTTGAATGCTGAACTGAAGTCTATGAACAGCATTCTGACATAAGTGTCTTTATTGTCCAGGTGGGTGAGAGCCAGGTGGAGTGTGGTGGAGATGGCGTCATCTATTGAGCAGTTGGGGCGATATGCAAATTGCAGTGGGTCCAGTGAAGGAGGAAGCTGGTCTTTAATGTGCCTCATGACAAGCCTCTCAAAGCACTTCATGATGATTGGAGTGAGTGCAATGGGACGGTACATCATAAAACTGAAGAGTCATATTGTAATATTTGTGGTAAAGGAAATAATTATAATGATGTCAAGAAGAGCATGCTACATCAGCTTCCACCACAAGGGAAGGCGTTTCAATTCAATAGACTGCCAATCCAGAGGCAACTAGAGAACTTGCTATCATACAGTTACAGGTGAATCAAATTCTTCAGTGGTTCTTTTTTAGAAATGTTGGTTAAAGGAGCTCTGGAAGCAACTGTTAGCTTAGTAAGTCTGACAATAGGAGATCATGTATGATAGTTACATGCTTTCCCAGCCTGTTTGGTTAGCTAGACTTTAATTACCATTTATAGCAGAGTATAATGGCTCCCAAACCTCAGTACAGCTTTTACCCTGATTTGTCTTAAAAGGTTAGCTATCAAGCTGACCCAGACAGTTTACCCATACATTTAAAACAGATTTGGTTTTGAAATATCATACGGCTTTTAAAAGGACATTGCTGATGTTTGAGTGACACAGGCCATAAACAGGCCTCATACATGATCTGTAGTGTTAATTAGATAAAATACAGGAACACGGATGAAAGAAACTGAAGGAAATGAGGATAATAAATACTGAATGACTGAAAATGAAAGTTTGTAATATTCTGGAAATCATTATGGTCTTAAACAATCTGGGAAAAAGCTGTTTATGAGAGAGAATACAAATGTTAATATTACATTCTGTGTGACTCCCATTGCAGGCGCTCATACAGAACAAGTAAACAAAAAGTGGCAGAAGCTGTTTGTTCATAATAAAAGCTAGAGCTGCTAAAAGGTGCCACTAGAGGGCACCTGGAGAGTTTGAGTGCTTGGAGAATAGTGATGTGGTAGAAGCAGCCAGCAGGAGTCTAACAGTATCCCACATTATAGCTGACCAAGAGGTACAAAAATCATAAAAATTATCTTTTTCACTTTTTCAGAGAAGTAACAAAATAATCTCTCTCAAAGGGATCTTTTTAGAGGGCTGATCTGTTTTGGGGATTTGGAGATCTCTCTGGTGGAAGAACATTTGTAATGTGGGTTGTGCTTCGGACCCTTGAACATTTGCGCATTTGTTGAACGAGTGTTCAAACTTATCATTGTACACTACTGATAGAAAAGAAGCACAACTCCATAAAAAGCTAAAGGCCACTGAAAAGCAAACCATTTCCTTTTTACATTTAACTGTTATCATGAAGGAATTCGGTTGATGAAGCCAGGGGTGTTGCTAGGCCAGTTTTAAAATGTTAGACTGATAAATCAACATTATTAGTTCAAATAACCAGTAGTTTTTTCTCATTACTTCTTCATTATTCAGCCGCGCCACTGTGTCTCGAAATATACTGTGTTAGCAGGGTGTGAACTGGGGGAGGTGTTGCTGCTGTAATTTACTGCTGCCTCAGTTCTGCTACCAGAGATTTTCTAACATAACAAGAGAAGACAGTCCTCTGCTGTTTAGCTTTGGGGAAAAGTATACTCACTGGCTCAGCCAATCATATCAGACCTGTGGGAGGGTCTCCGGCGCTACTTGCTCTACAAAGTAACGTCAGTTGGCAGCTGCTGAAGTTGAGACAGGATTTTGGCTGAAAGCTCACTAAAATACACAAATGAGCCAAAACATTATGACAGATGAAGGGAAAAATTGATTATCTCATATCAATGGCACGAGGACTATCAATTATTTTAGTAATCAAGTATTCTACCAATTATTCCATCTGTTAATTCAGTAATCGGATAAGAAATACTTTTGCTTGATCAAACAGCAATAGTAAATAAACAAAAGAGAAAATAAGAGGGGTGTACAGAGTTTTTTATTTTTTAAAATGATGCCAAATTTTGTACACTTTGTAATTTTCTCTGGCCTGTCTCTTCTGTTCGCCCCTCTTTCGCTATTTTTTCTCTTTTTCTCCATTTTGCGTGACGACTTGAGCAAATCTGACAAGGGCCAAATCATCATAGCCAGACAACTGGGTTAGAGCATCTTTAAAACAGGAAGGCTTATGAGGAGCTCCCAGTCAGAAGTGGTGAGTATGTATTGACAGTGGTCTAAGGAGAGACACAAACTGGCGACAGGGTGTTGAGCACCCAAGGCTTATTGATATGGAGGCTTTCCAATCTGGTCTGAACCAACAAAAGGGCTACTGTGGCACAAATCAGATCAACTTAGAGTGATGATTACAGGATGGTCACAACCCACAGTGCATTTCACACTTCTGCTTATGGGGCTGCGTATCCGCAAAACTGTAAGAGTGCTAACCCGTCTGTGGTTGAAAGTGGCTACCATGGGCAGGCAAGCATCAGAACTAGACTTTGGAACAATGGAAGAAAGTCGTCTGGTCAGACGAGTCTTGTTTTCTTGTACATCACATGGACGGCCAGGTATGTGCGTGCTGTTTACCTAGGAAATGATGGCACCAAGACACACTGTGGGAAGAAGACAAGCTAGTGGAGGGAATGTCCTGGGCAACGTTCCTCTTGGAAAACCAAGTCTGGGCATTCATGTGGACATCAATTTGACACATGCCACTTTCCTAAATTGAACAAATTGTTTGTGAATGGTTTGAGGAACGTGACAGAGTTTAAGGTGTTGTCCTGGCCTCCAAATTCTCCAGATCTCAATCCAATCAAGTATGTGTGGCATGTGCTAGAACAAGTCCAATGGCTTGAATCACTCAACTTACAGGCCTTAAAGAAACTTCTGCTAACATCCTCCTCAGGTTTCTCTTGCATCATGCTGATAGAAGGATCAGAATTTGGTGCAACCAACATCTGGTTGGATCAACAATACATGTTGGTGGTGCAGTATGATGGTGTGGGGAACGGTTTCCTGTCACAAATTCGGACCTCTGATATCCACTTTAGAATTTCTGAACAAGACAGTGTATTTGAACGTAATTGCTGACTGATTTCATCGATTCATTACTACAGTCGAGTCAAGTCAAGTCAAGTCAATTCAAGAGGCTATTACTGTCATTCCATCTATCTACAAGTACACAGTGGAGCAAAATTATGTTCCTCCAGGAACAAGGTGCAACATGGAACAAAATAAGACAAAGTGTACAGACAAAGTGCAAACATGCAGATGTAAGTGTGCAAACATTGAGTACGATAAATAAAACAGACATTAGACACAGTAAACAGACAGGACAGTGCAGCGCAGCACTGACACAGCACTCATTTCTGGACATTTCTAAGGATAAGGTGCAGAGATATTTAACATACTGTGATATGTAGGTATACGCAGTCAGGCGTCAGCAGTTACTGATAGAAATATACAGTACAGTATACAGTTTATCCACACTCGGATGGACACCTCCAGTATCATAACAGATTATGCTACAAAGCATGTGTTCTCACTGCATGCCTCTAGCAAACATGACAGATCACTTCAAAGGCTTGTACTGGGGCCCAGTGCACCAACAGTTCTTGCTCAGACATTCTTTCCTGCTAAACTGGTCATAACTAACAACAGTTTTCAGGGAGGGCTTCATGCCCAAGTGCAAGGTCAGTCTTAGCTGGGTGCAATCATATGAAAATGTAGCAATGGTGGTTATTAAGCAACCTGGTTTATTAAGCAAAACTACTGCATACATACTTACTCCTGGAAATTTATAGAACTCCGATGACGTCACACAATGACACTGCAGCCATTTTCGTAGGCAACTTTAAGTTCATGCAGGAGCACAAGGATGTTTGATATGAGATAAAGCTATGATTAAAGGATGTGCAACACTTGCATGAAAACTTGTGCTGCATTGAATTCACACTGTAACCATGTGACGTCCCTCTGCATGTAAAACAACCATGTGACTTGTAGACACAGCGCAGAGGGTCTTATCTGTCACAATCTCACTGCTGAGCTCACAGGTCAGTTTCTCATGCACACTTATTAATATAGATGATCAGGCTGCCTGAACACATCATGGTACACAGACCATCACAGAGGCACTCCCTGAAAAGTTTATTCATAGACCTCATCTCATTTTCTGTAGCAGAACCAGTCACACCATGAAAAAAGGCCAACATTTTCCTGACCTTACTCTTTATTTTGCTATAGCTCCATATTTCCTTAACTTTTACCAAGCAACACCACTTTATATCAACATACTGCTTTCAGCTGGCTGAATATCTTCTCAAAAGCAGCTGTCAAAGCAAACCTATTACTGGAAGGGTTACAGAATGGAAGATGCTTTGCTGCAGGCACTGTATCTAAAACTTTTTTTGATTGTTATTTAATGAATAAGATATATTTTAATAAAAAATCTTTTAGTGAGCAAAAAAAATTCCATCTTTGTGTCTCTTTGGGGCCTTGAAATCATAATATCCTACCTCTCTCGCCTATGTAGTTCTGTCTGGTATTAATCCCAGTACTAGAGGTGACTGTATCTGAGCAATGTCTTTTCTTCATGACTATACTCAGAAATGGCAAACAGTTACAGGATAGACACCATGACAACTTTATTTTAACCTTTTACACAGAGTACAAACCACAGGAACTGATCTCTCTGGTTAGAAACCAAAAAAAAATTATAAAAATAGTTCCTGGAGACAGTGAGCAGTGACAGAGATGGGTGTTAAACTGGTATGAAATGCCTAAACTTCCTGTCCTGAGAGCAAGTATGTATTTAGCAGTATCACCCACACAGAGTCACTTTGAGAGCTGAAGACTGTAGTGGAGACTTCAAATCTACAGATACAGCAAAAATCAAAGCAAAAATCCACTTAATGGCATCAACACATTTACAGAAGATCAAAGAGCTGAAGATTAATGAGGATATATATGCAAATTCAGGAATTACAACAGACAACACATCAACTCATTCAGACGACAGCAATGATTATGAGGACATCGACGCCAATGAAGATGTCCCAGAGACGGGTGTG